TTGGAGGTTTCTACGTGTGCGTGTGTTCTTGAGTTTGGAGGTGTTGGGAGTTTTTACAACCTGTTTATTACATTATTAAATGTTTTAATTAGTTAATAGGGTATTAATCAAACTAGTTAATTTTTTTAGGGTATTTGGCCTAATTTGCCATTTTTTAAATCATAAATCCAAAATTATATATGAGAACTGAATTATTAAACAAAATTTTATTTCTTTAGTCAAATACTATTGGTACCTACTCATAGTAACCAAAACCACACAATAATTAGTATTTGTTTAATGTTGAGTTTTATATTGAAAGATCAAGGAATCGATTACACATTCCTTCCAAAAATCAGGTGGTATTAATTAAATAAGTCAAGTTCACATAACATATGATTATAAGTCACAATTACAAAACAAATTTTATAGAACACAACTTATTTATTGATCACAATTTATCAAATTAATTGATTATGACCTATTTTCTGATCATAAATTTATAGGCCACAACTTATTATATGTTCGCAAATTATTAAATTAATTGGTAACCACTTATTTATTAATTATGAAGACATAAATGATAGTCACAATTATTATAAATCACACATTTTTAGGTCATATATTATTTATTGATAGTAACTTATTTGTTTTATTGATCACAATTATTCAATAATTGCTTACAACCGCTCTTCATCCCATTTACTCTATCCTACCACCATCGGCACACCAAAAAATACTGTTGTCACCTCACTACGACTACCGTAACAGCACCACGCAGATCTATACCAAAAACGTTGTACCGTCTCACCACCACCACAACATAGTTCAACTCCATGCATTACCACTGCTACCATCAGTACCATTATCACTATCACCTGCACTACAACCGACCGCCGCCACCTCCTGCTCCAATCCACCAACTCCACAGTCAGAAGCATTGCCGTAGTTTCGCCGCCACTATAACTACCACCACATCTACACTAAATCTAAAATCAATGCCACCACCACAACCCACACACAACTACCTCCGATCAACCAATTCCATAATCACCAACACCGTTATCGATAGCTACGAATATTTGAGTCTTCTACAAAACTTGAAAAATGGAATAACCCAAATTAGATTATGCCTTACAGTCGAAATCGAATGTGGTACTTTAGCTATTTGTATGATTTTGTGGTTGTAACCTCAACAACATAGTGAGAGAACAATAATGGGAAAGGTAGGCGACTAAGATCAATGACTCAAATCGGCTTGGCACGCGTCTGGCTTGGGATGTTTGACACCACTGTTGAGGCTGTCAAAGCTTACGACAGGGCAACATTCAAGATGAGGGGAATAAATAGTGCTATTGATGCTTCCAACTTCACCGACCCCCTAGACAACAGGTGTTGTCAAATATGTTGAGAGAGTAGAAAGATAAAAGACGTGTGTAGAGGGAGTGATAATAGAGTAAGAGAAGATACTGATAATAACGATAGTTATCCATAATTTGTGGATATATTATTAAATTAAATTATAGTATTAATATTAAAAAGCTCAATCACTCGATTTTTGAATAAATAAATTTTAAAACTAAATTAAAGTTGAAAGTTTAAAACTATGTGTTAACGTAATTTTCTCAAAAATGAACAACTTAAAAAAAAAAATTATAAACTAAAAAGTATATATGCCACTCCTAATCCTAGTCCTAGCTCTAGAATCTTGATTAAAGACTAATCAAAACAAATGAATGGTGTTTGAGCCCCATTTTATGGAAAAATATATTTTGTAATAGTGGTCTTTTTTTAAAGAATGTGTAGTAAAATTTAAAAGTAGAAATTTTTCTGTATTTAAGAATAAATTATTTTATTGGAAGAATTTACGGTTAAAAAATGAATTAAAAAAAAAAAAGAGTTTTAAA